AAAAAAATGCTATCCCAAAAGGAGGAGAGTCTCCCTCTAAAAACCCAGAATCTGGTTCTCGTACCATTAAAATATCATAAATGAAGTTTTATATGCAGGTATCATTAATGATGTTCAATTCCCGAGAGATGAGTGTAACATTTTAGGACTTAGACAAGACCTTTTATAGACTTACTGGGTTTTGTTTTCATGCACGATATAGTTGATGTACAATATATTCTGATATGCCATGGAGGACACTGCCTATGCATGCTGGGGCTATTAATGATCATAGAAAGTCAACTTTGGGAAGTTAGAACCTTAATATGAATTTTATGCTCCATAGACTATCATCAGTCTAAATCAAATCAAGAACTAGGAAGAAGTTGCGCTCTATGACTGTACTGGTTTTGTATTTACATACCCTGGGTCAGGTATGTTGGAGGGCTTCTTTATATAGGTGCACTTGGTTATTTCTGCAACAGGTTCCAATTTGTCCATGACTTTTAGTTATGACTAAAATCTCTAATTCCATAGAATGGTTTTGCCATAGTACTTATACCATGATGAGTGGGATGACAGGGCTTGTATATATATATATATATATATCTTTTGGGGTTTTTTCTTGCCCTTAGCAAGAGCTGTAGAGCGTAATATATGATACGTGTGTTTGCTTTGCAGGCTCTTACAGCACTACTTTCGGATGATAGCAAGTTTGGTTTCATTGTAATAGATGGTAGTGGTGCGCTTTTTGGCACACTCCAAGGAAACACAAGAGAAGTCCTGCACAAATTCACTGTGGATCTTCCAAAGAAACACGGTAATACAGGAAGAGAACCTAAGCCAACTTGCTTTGTGATTAGTGTTGAAGAAGCAAGTAGATGGCGGGGAAAGTGAGCCCAAATGATGGGAAGAGGAGCATTGCAGAACGACTGGTGGCTTGGTGATGTCTCTCTGACTTTGATAAGTGCTGCGCACTAACCGATTGTGCCACTGGAGCTTTTCTGACTTCTCTCTTCACATCAGAAGCAGTGGTCACTCAGAGCAAGTAACCGTTTATGCTAAGCATTTAGCTAAGGGAGTAGTGATTTTTCTCTTTTGGATAACAGCATGTTTGACTTATTTTTTAATTAGAAAAGCTTCTTGTACCTTTTAATTGCCTTATTTTCCCCCATCACTTTTATGTCAAAGGTAGAGGAGGTCAGTCTGCTTTGCGTTTTGCCCGTTTAAGAATGGAAAAACGACATAATTACGTTCGGAAAGTAGCCGAGACTGCTGTGCAACTGTTTATTTCTGGGGACAAAGTGAATGTGGCTGGTCTCGTTTTAGCTGGATCAGCTGACTTTAAAACTGAACTAAGCCAATC